TGATTGCACGAAGATGCATCTGGAAGAACTTCTTCATAACCTGCATAATACAGAATGATGAAACCAGATTCATCACGTATTTGGTTATGGAATAAGTTATTCATAATCTGCATAAACCTGGAAGATGAAACCAGATGCATCACGTAAATTCATATGAAAGAAGTTGTTCATAATATGCATACACAAGATTTGATGAAACCAGATGCATCAGCATAAAGATGCTAATAGATTACAAAAAATGCTAAGAGATTACAAATCGTGCTTGTGTATTTGATCATAATCTGCATAAACCAGATTATGAAACCAGATGCATCAGAATCAGGATGCTAAGTGATTACAAATGGTGCTAAGAGATTAGAATAAATGAATAACTAATGAAACCAGTAGCAGTAGCAATGATTTCCAAATATATTCATACATAGTTGATGGAATCAATGGATGAACGAATGAAGCAATAGCAGTAGCAGAATCAGTTTAGAGGGAATCCACAATTAGTATATAGGTACTGATGAAACCAGATACAAATTTGTTGAAGACATATTCATAATGAAGTACCAGTAATAGTAGCATTAGCAGTAGCAATAGCATTAGGAGTAGCATTATCCGTAGCAGTAGCAGTTGCAGTAGAAGTAGCAGGAGCATTAGCAATTTCARATGAAGAATATGAATTAGACAAACGGAAAAAGTTTTGCTTTTGGTGGGAGAAGCACATGGTATGCCTAATTTAGAGGGAATACACATGAGTATATAAGTACCAATGACGCCAGATACTAAATGAAAATAGATTCATACATAGTTAAGGACGTGGTCGCCTTTTCTTGATCATCATATACAATTTTATTCTGATTAATATGAATTAATTATTTTCTATATCACTCGAAATATTAATATAGACATATTAAATAGTTGACATGGTCAAAACTGACGAAACCAGTATCATCAGCAGAATCAACAACTAATATGTCATTAGCCAATAATTTCATGTATACGCTATATGCTAATATGTCAAAGTATGATTACCTACATTATGTCTTATTACCTACATAATGTATTTTGCCGACATAATCATGATGTTGTGTTACTGTTTATAATCTAAAAGCGGCTTTATGATATATTTGCATTAATATAAGATTCATTTTGGATATTGTTGTAGATTATCGCTATCAAGACATGGGGGAAACGTCTACTGGGTCGAAATATTGGGTTCCTAGTGTAGACGTAAAATATAAACCTAAGGTTGGTGATTCTTTTGAGTCTGTAGAATCGGCTGAGAAAATGTATCGGAAATATGCCAATGAAGCTGGGTTTGATGTACGTTTATCTAACAAGAAGATAAATAAGCTTGGTCGTATCACATCCCGATTTTATGTGTGTAGTAAGGAAGGGAGGCCCCAAAGTAAGTATTTTGATTCCTTAGATGTTCTTCCAGGTGGTCGTACAATCCGAAATTCAAATATCAAGCGTTCCGGTTGTGGAGCATGTTTAAAAATTCACCTTGTTAATGAACCGAACCAATACGAAGTTTACAAGTTCGTTGAGCAACACAATCACATCCTTTTTAATAAAGAGGAGATGAGTTTTCCCGTTCGAAAAGGCAACTCCACTACGCTGATCATAAGAATGTATTTCATGGTTCTAGTTCAAAGGTTGGCATCACCAAATCTCATAGATTTATGAAAGCCGTTAAGGGTGTTGTAGATTCATCGGGTGGCACTGTAAGAGATCATCAAAACTTCAAACGCGATATGRCATATTTTGTTGGCAATAAAGACGCACAAATGTTATTAAATGTGATGGATAATAGGAGGAAGGTTTGTCCTGAGTTTTTTTTCGAGTACAAGTGTGATGACAAGGAGTTGTTAGCAATCTTTTGGGCTGATGAGACTGCACGATCAAATTATAGGGAATTTGGCGATGCAATATCATTTGATGCAACGTTTAGAACCAACAAGTAAGTTGTACTTGATATTAAAATATTATGTTGGTTTTATCAATACTTTATCTTGTACCTTATATTAATATTCATTTTTTATTTTTGMTAGGCATGCTATGATATTTGTTCCGTTCGTTGCAATTGACAATCATAAGAAATCYGTTGTTGTTGGAGCTGCATTGATTCATAATGAATCTGTGGTTGATTACACATGGGTACTAAAAGCGTTTCTAAAAGCACATGGACGTCAACCACGTTTCGTTATCACCGACCAATGTGCGTCGATGAAACAAGCAATTCCCATTGCATTTCCTGAATCCAGGCATAGATTGTGTATGTGGCATATCACTAAAAAGGTGAAATCRAAGGTAATTAAGATGATAGTTTTTGTAGTAATTATTTTGTTTATTTTAATTTGTTATGCAAATGTTTGATGGTCATATTTGCAGATTAGTAATCACCTCCAACACCGCACGCAGTTCGTTAGCGAATTCAATAAGTTGGTGTGGAACGTTCACCTTGGTCCTAATGAATTTGAGATGCAATGGAACAATCTGATCGATTTTTATGGATTACGTGGAGATCCATGGTTTGATGATTTGTACAATATTAGGGAGTCGTGGATTCTGGCATACTATAAGGATTTTCACATGTCAGGCCTAATGAAAACAACATCCAGGTCGGAGAGCATCAATGCGTTTTTTAATGTTTATGCACATTTTTGGCATGATCTTGTTGTTTTTCTCCGTTCTTTTGATAATGCAATTGAAAGTCAACGGGCAACACATGGGTCACTAGAGGTGACAACGAAAAGCACGATTCCTCGACTGGTGTCCCCTTGCAAGTTGGAAGCTCATGCAGCAGAGGTTTATACACGRACTATATTTTTCGAAATTCAGAAAGAGTTAAGAAAGGCTGTTTGGCTTTGTGGCTGGGATGGATTCACTGACAATGGTGAAACCAGAGTGTACATCATTACTCACAAGAACAAGGCTTCGAAGGTCACAACAAAATACACGGTATTTACTTTGTCCAGTTTCGTTTTGCACCCATTATTKTTAATTATTATTTTAACGAACAATATGATGAAGCCTCCTCCCATATAATAGGTGATTAAGAAGAAGATTGAAAACTCCTATGATTGCAGTTGCAATTGTTTTGTTCGTAATGGGATTTTATGTCGTCATGCTCTGAAGGTGATGTTAAATGATGAGGTTGACAGAATTCCCGATAAATATATACTACGTCGTTGGCGACGCGATCTAGTTCCCGTGGAGTGGTTACCAGCAMGTTTCAGATATGGTGAAGTTGATGCAGAGAAAGAGAGATTGATGAGCTTGGCTTATTCATATTTTGAACGTATCTTAGGTAGAGTCCGAAATGAAAAAGACATTTTGACAAGATTTGTTGACCAACTCGAACAATGGGATTCAAAGGTTGACATTGAACTTCCTTTACAGTCTCACACTGAAGAGACCACAGCGTCTATTAAAGAGTTTCTTGGAGTATCTCAACCCGAAACTGTTGATGTTCTTCCTCCCACCGGTATTCGAAACAAAGGTTGTGGAACTGGTAAGAGACTTATTAGCGCTGCAGAGAAAGCAATTTCAAACAGAAAAAAACAAAAGAGAAAGTGTCGACTATGTGGTCAGATGGCTACACATGATTCTCGGAATTGTCCGAAGCGTGATTACATTTAAGCTATCTTTTTTATTTTTTCGTATCATTTAATTTTTGAGATGTTATTGGATTGTATTGATGGGTTTTAGTTCACTTTTTGATTATGATGTTATTTGGATTGTATTGATGGATTTTTAGTTCATTTTGATTACATTGAAGTTCTACTTTTTGATTTTTTCGTTTATGTTAATTTTGAGATGTTAATTTATCTATCAGACTTTGTCATATCAAAAAATCTTGAGACGTTATTTTGTTATATTGTTTAGAGTTATTTCACTAGATTATATTGTTGTCGTATCACTACACTTCATGAAACCTATGTGTGTAGTGATTCATGATAAACTAATTGTAATGTATATTATGTACCGGTGAAACCAAGTTCATAAGATCAATCAGGTAAGTTAAGTTCATTGGTAAATTTTTATACAGCATGTGAGGGCATGTACAATGTACTGATGAATCTGGTTTCATTGTCATGTAACTTCATGGGCGTTGAAACACATAAACAACATGATGAAGGAGATCGATGAAATAAATGAATTGTCCTGCCATGTGATTTAATGTAATAGTAAACTTACTTGTTCAAGACAACAGTTACGGTATACATGAACGGCATGGAATCCGTCACCTAAGAAAGATTACATATCATTTACAATTTACCTGCATTAAAAATTACAGATTAAGTACTAATCTTAATGTATTACAAATAAGTAAGCAAGTTATCAACTAATACGTGCCTGCACAGTATTTTCATAATAATCAACTATTCATCATTTCTTTATAATAGACTGACAAAACGAGATCAAAATTAAGTATCAATTTCTTATCTGATATACTTAACTATATGAATCAAACGTACATMAGCTTGAGTACCTGATATATCTTTTTGGTGATGATGTTGTTATAACTTATGAATTTGTGATCATTGAAACACGATTCATTAATGATGCAAGCTCATAATAATAGACTGATCAACGTCCAACAATCTGCAAAACCATGAACTCAAAAAATGTACATCCTCATCAAAACCACAATTGTCAATACCTGATGTTATTCTATATGATTGTCAACAAAAAAAAGAACCAAAAAAAAAAACACAATCTTTAAACAAAATGATATATGAAGTTAAATTGTCAAAAACATGCCGCGAATAGGCAAGTGTAATGTACAATGTTATGAAAACAATATATTGATCAAAAATGATATGCACMCTGACGTGTTGAAATCCCAAAAGTAGAAGGTTTAAACAAACTAGAAAATTCAGTACTAAATGTAAGTTCTTAAATACGTCTACATCAAAATTCAGATTTGCAGTCTATCTACCCTTGTATCGTGAGCTCGCTTCCTTATCTTAGCACGGGCGACTTCATTGATTGAATTGAACTTTTCAACTTCTTTAATTACGTAATCCTTCTTGACGTTATAGYTGTTCATCAATATCTTTGCTACGTATTTCACTCTCAGGTTTGCGATTTGATTTTCTTGAGTTTTACTTTCGGGTGCCAATCCAGTCTTCCATGATTTCATATCTCCCATGTATGTTTCCATGTGTCTCATTGTGAACACACCACAATCATCAAAGTTATTGTTTGTCTGCCAGTCCAATCTCAATCTTTCCTGACTAGTTTCATCCAATTCTTTACCGGCCGCATGTCCTACTGCATTCAAATGTCTGATCATCAACCTTTGCTGCATAAACATAAACAAATTCGTAGATCATCTTATTCAAACTTAATTTAGAATGCAATTATAAGGTAGTTTTTGATTCATACCAGTATATCCGTTATGAAATCATACATTTCCAAAAGGTGCTCATCATCGGACACTTCCACACGTCTGTTGTCTATGACTACAATTGATGGATTTTTCAAATTGAAGACCACAAGATAGTAATGACCCTTATCCAGCAATGGGAAGAATACCTATTGTATCGTCACGTTGTCAAAATACAAATTGCGTTAATTCATATAGAATATAATTAACTGAAAACTACATTAGTCCAAAAGATAGAGTTGTGAACTTAGATTCATAATACAACGATTATTTGAAAATAGATTCATTATAAACATACACTATATGAACCTTATATTATTTCAATAGTGTATCAGATTCATTGATACGTTTGMCTAAGTGCATATTAAAATTGTTAGCCAAATACATCAACTACAATCTGAAAATGGAAAACATACCAGGTCTACGTTACGCATTTGTAGTACTTCCCAATTGTTCTTAGCTGAAGATAACAAACTCTTTTTGAAAAGTGCATATTGGGTGTTATGATTGATGCTCTTAGATCTTAGCTTGGTGTCTCCCTGTCATAATCAACGATGAATTATATTGAAGAAGCTGTTAGATAATGCAAAAAAA